CTTTTATTTAATAATTCTTCGAGTGGTGCGAATTTATAATTTTCATAGCGAGATATATCTAAATTATCATTAGAAAATCTTTTAGCCTGGAATTGAAAGAAAAATGTTCCATTCCTTTTTAATCTGCACTGTGTTTTATTATATAAATGTTGACGACTTGACAGTTTGAATGCAAAGGTACCTAATCTCTACGTCTAATATTAGCCTCAAGGGTTCATTTCCACGTGTTTGTAATACAAAACGTTGGTCGCAGGAACTTCTCTTCAGGCAATTCGAGCAGACTTGCGAGGAGAGCGGCGCTTGTAAGATGCTACTGCCAGAAAGGAGCGGCATTGCCAAAACGAAATGCATTCGCGAATGCGTGTCACCGTCCTGTTACAAAGAGATCTACTTGTTCGATCAGGTATACCCATCGATTCGAGTTTCGTACAAATATTCCACCTCGTATGCATTCCGTCCGAGCGTGTCTGATTTCAGCTGGAGGAGGGCGAGATCGACGTGAGATTGAACTCTTTTAAGGGTTGCTTCATGCAGCGCAACGGCCGGCCGCGAAAATAACAGAAAAACCTTGCCAGCGAGCGAAAGAAGCTGAAAGAGGAGGGCCAAGCGCGGGCGAACTTTTTACTACAGCGAATGCAAATCCTAAGCGACAGACGCACCGCACGAACTGCGTCCGACCAGTTACCAAAAGAGAGAAAAAAAAAAGAAGAAAAAAAGAAAAAAAATAACGCAGAAAGGAATCACTAAAATGAAAAAAAAAAAGAAGAAAACGACAATTTTTAAGATACACTATATCTGGCTGGGGCATTTAGAACGCGGAGTGCAATCAAGCTACTTAGCAAACAATACAACAGATACAGACGAAGTAATATACTCTATTTCAGAATCACGCTGAAGCGCACGCGTTATACCACGCGGGCGAATTAAATTCGTCCGACGGATTGATGTTTTTCTACTTTTTGTACGCACGTAATTTAACATGTTACAATGTTATCGAGCAATGTTGCACGGATCGAATAAACTGTTAAAGCAAAGCCTCCCCGTTGTTCATGTTATTCTCACAAGATCCTCCTATCTAATTGTTGTACTGTGATAACTATAATAAAAACATGCACACGTTGCCTCTTGCAGCTAGCAATAAGTGAAGAAAAAAGATCATGGTAGTTGAGACAACTTACCGCGTAGAGAAGATTGTAAAACGCTGCGTCGTTTCTCGAGCCTTTTACCGCGTTGACGTAGTCGTTGATCTGATCGAAAGTCTCCTCGAACGGTGTTTTGCAAAGAGATCTCGCGTTCCATGGTCCTTCGTCGGCGCAGTATCTTTTACGATAGCGGAGCCAAGTTGAAACGAAATCCAGAAAGTGGTAGGTTACGTGGCGCGTTTGTAGGATGTCAGATACGATATCGTAGTTGCTCATCAGCGTGCACATGTGGTACATCAACAGTTCCACGCGCCTGTGGCAAAATTTGAGTGTAGCCTGCAAGCACTGGTACACGACGTCTCTTTGCGTTGGGTCACTCTGTGAACAGAAGAACGATCATATTATTCAAACTAACGCACAGAATCTATTGTTACAGTCTAATTATTTTGTATTTTCAAATCAATTTTAAAATTTTTCAGCATTGCGAGAGATATTAAGCTTCGTGTCTTCGAATTAATTGCAAAAGATCGAAATTAATTTCAAAACGTAGATCTTTCCATCCCTGCGCTTCAATTATGAAGAAAAAAAAAATAAATTCCAATTTCCAAATTATTAATTTATTGTTCGTTCTTTCAATCAAGCAATCTGCATTTTCATATCGAGACGTAATGTCAATTAAACAGGCAATTGCTTGAAAGTCAACGGGATCGTCAACCGATTCGATTAAAATACCAGCACTAACTCTTTCATGAACGATATGAAGGGTCTCGTAGAGATTGATCACACCCTCGGCGCGATCGGCCGGGATCTCGTCCAGCCTGACAGGTGATCCGTCAATATTTTGAGTTAAAAGTTCCAGCACGAGTTGCATTCCATTGATCGACGAGTGGACGGACCTCCTCGTATTTAACAGCAAATCGGCTAAGCTCTGCACGTCAATCGTCACCGGCTTATCACGCTGAAAAAACACGTCGTTCGACGTATGGCCGACGGTCGACAACGCGGAATCTATTATTTACGAACGTGGTGTTCTCGCACCTGGATCGACGACTGTCCCTGGCAGTGCACGATAAACGCGAGAAGCTTCAAACAGACGGCGGACAATTCCGGCGTTTCCAGGGAGAAACCCTGAACGAGCAACTCTTCTAAAAAGCACGGCGTCGTGCAATACCTTTCGAGGACTGTCGGAAGACGACGACATGGAAAAAGAAGCGTGGAATTATTTTTCTGTACTTGTTGAAGTTTGTTATTTAGTATTTATTGTGTGCGCCAGCGTCTCGCTGAGATATGTACTTGTAAATGGCTTGATTGTCGCGGACGTGACCAGCAACGCGTATGACTGCATTATTGCCAGTGTCCTCAGCTTCAAGTCCGCCTCCCGGCGTAGAACGATCGCTACGAGATTGTCCGCGCACCGAATCTTGATGCTCCACGATAACGAGTCCGGGATGGACACGTTGGTTAATTCCAACACCGCTTTCACTTGCTCGTCTATCGAAGATTTTTTTTTTAATTTCAGTTCGACGTGACTGACGACGATGTTTTATACTTAATTACATTCAAGTAAGTCAGAATGACTTATGTACTTCTTTTCGCTGTGATCGATCATTGGATGAAATTGAATTTCTTTTTAATTCATTATTATCGGTCGTTTGTGTATTAGCATTGAATTATGGACGATCATAATAACTTACGTTACGATTAGCTTTCTTTTATATTTTATACTCTTCGTGACAGAGACTGATAATTAAAATAAGTTAGAAATTCAAAAATCGAGCAATCTGGGATTTAATTGCTGCAATGTCTGCTAACTTGATGAAGCTGAGTGTTAATCTGAGGATACATTCAAGACATTGTCTTAAAAATTCGAAATGCAAAGTAAGAAACCAATAATTACAGGCCATATATAATAATAATCTGTTGGCAAATTTTTAAAAACCTTGATCGCAAGATTCATTAATTAAATTTTAATATTGAAATTTCAAATCCATATCTCTCTCGACATCTCTGTTCATTCATTTCACCGATCACTCGAAACAAAGTTTGCGATTGCTTTAAACAATTCATATCTCTTTGCTATATAAACTTTTTAAAATTCTCGTCGATAAAAGTGCTGATCAACGATCCTTAATTACTTCGATACACATAATCGTCAATAAGAATTTTGAAATTTATATTAATAAAATAATATCTGTCGTTTCATAATTGACGTAGATACGTGTACATCTTCAGAGAAGAATACCTTTCAATGGTTGGTAAGTGGAAAGAAGTTTAGGCAACATGTGCCAAGCGATCTCTGCAATTTCCTTGGCATTATCCAGCCGTATCATCTCTCTAATTCCTTTCATCGCCAGGCTGATTATTTTATCGGAATATCCAGTCTGTATGACAAGCTATTTGCCAAAAGAAATTCCGTCAGGTTATCTCATCGATGCATCAGTCTCACAACTCCCACCGAGCCCATTAACGCGAACGTGTATGATTACCAATAGAAAATGTTGCACAACTTTCCCGCAGTCTATAGTCAATAACGGCTTGATGTCTCCGTCAGACTCAATCAACCATAGCTCCATCGCTCTGTTTCGAAGATCCTTCGGGAATTCACGGCAATTCAAGCAATAATGCAATAGATCTATGTGATGAGTGTAACAGTCGTTCAGGTTGGAATATTGCAACGCAGCTGCCAATCGTTTCACGGCTCTGTCGTAATCCTGTTCCGATCGCGGTGATGGATGCGATACGGACGCGACGGCAAACAGAAACCATAAAACTTTCAAAATTTGCGCCAGCGTCTGCTCCGATTTAGGGAGATTGACAGTCCTAGCAATCAGCGATTTCAAGCATATCATGTCGGCCCTGCAATATTTTTTCCATTCAAAGTATCGTCGCGGCATGCGATAAAGAAGAAAGGAGAAAGCTTGATCAATCCTTGTAGGTTTTATCGTCGGTGAAACTTAACTCTGTAAAAATTCTACTTTCATGCACGGTGATATAGTATCGAATAGGTGATAGTTATTAGACTATATTTGTGTAATAAAATTGGAACGTATGCACAATATATATTATAATAATACTCAAAGTACAATATTTATTTAAATAAATATAGGTAATAGACAAAACAAGATTCGATTTCTTCAGTTGTGTTTATAAAAATTTGTAAAAATCCAGTGTCTAGTTATTTGCAATTGCTGCAAAGAGTAGCCCTTTAAATACATTGTAAATGATACCCATAGTATCTAAGAAGAAAGCTACAAGTCTCTACAAATTTGCAATCTAGTAATAAAATATTCAATTCTATTTGTTTAATTTGACTAATTTCTGAATGAAAAAGTGAAACAGAAAATAGATTGATTTTCAAATTGAATTAAAGAAACATATGCTGGAGTGAAATTTCACTAACGATTTCTTCTCGTGATAGATGTTAAGAGTTAATTTCAATTTCATACTCTTTGGTCCCGTGGAAGTGATAGTAAATCAACGTCATTAATGCAACTGCTCTGTTTTCTCGATCATGGGCTATTACATTTTCCCATTGTTCACTATCTTTCGGAAGATCCAACAATCCTCGGTATATCAGATTTTCAAAGCTTACTTCTTGATTGGTAGATCGACAAATTGGCATGGATTTTTCAGCTAAAGTTGTTACGATTCGTGATAGTAGCAGGCAAGTGCTCCGTCTTAAGATTTCTCTGAAATATCAGTGTCTTTTGCTAAGAATATACCTCAATAATGAGCTAAATGAATAAGTGATCAGACACTCGCATGGTTAAATATACAATTATTCTCGAAAATTAGATTGGTTATAGAAAATTTTATGAACGTATTATGTGCATTATATAAAACATGTTGGAATTTCATTGACACTGACAGTGAGTTCGAAACAAATCTAAAAATGATATAAATGATATTATCATACCAAAAATGTATACTAAAAATTGATATCAGAAATTACAAGGTACTTAACCCTTAAATAGTATTAAATTATTATTTATTCACATATCATTTATTACTTGTTAAAAGTATTTAATTAGCCACAACCCATTATATTAATAACATTTTTAACTTATTACAGTATGTATACTTAAAATAGTTATCCATGTTGCATCCTAATTTCCTACTAAATATATATGCAATAAATATCTTCTATATATCTGACTTTTATATACATTCAAATTTCATCAATATAATCGTGTCAATCGTATTAATAGAATCTCAAAATCTTTTACATAGCACGTTCAATACATAGATAAAGACTTGTATAAAGACTTGTTTATGGTAAGTTATGGAATACATTCGTGACACGCTATTAGACGTGACATCGAAACGATCGCATTGCCAAACGAATCGCAGATTGTTCACGAAACTTACGGAAGCTTAGTGGTTAACAGCAAGAAGTACTTGAGATATCCGTTGGCGGTCAAGTGGTTTGACAAGTTGTCGCGACCGCAGCTACTGCTCAACTTGTAAAGGTTGTTCAGACAAGTCACGAGGTTCCTATGGAATTTGACCCTGTCCGATTCATTTGACTCCATGGTCTGCAGAACGGGAATAAAAGGGCCTTTGA